GCAGGGGAATTTGAAACTCCTTGAGCTGCCAGTACCTTAGGAGTCCCCAAAGGTGTTCAAATGAGGTTGAAAACTGACAGGGAAACATTTTCAAGACTTTAGCTCCACCCTCCTCCATGTTCCATTATGGTCAATTAATACACACACAAACTTCTGATCAGTTAAGCATCTACATGTTTTTAACATCAGCTTGTATCTCCTGACCAGAAAAAACAAACGAACAAAAAAACCCTGATTCTCCAGGAACACTCTCTTCCCACAAAATTACATCCTATTACAATGGACTAAACTCTATTCTGCATTCTCAACGGAGTCTTAGACTACACGGAACTCTTTGCTAGTATCTCAGTTACACTAGTATTTTTTGTTACCCAGGATTAAAAATGTGACCATAGCTTGGGAGATCCCACAATCTCAGTGATAACATTCAAGTACTTACTGACAAGGTAAGTTGGATTTCTTTATGATTGTAGTTTTTGGATATCCTTTTCTTCAAAGCTTTTACTGCATCTTTTGGCCTACGGTGATAAATAGACTGAAATCACCAACTGAGGCATTACTGAAAACAAGCAGTCCCTCTGAAAAGCCCTATGCAGAGTGAACAGGTGAATGACTACGGAACGGAGGATCAAGAACTTGGTTCTGCTAAGCAGATCACTTACTTAACTTCTCGAACCTAAAGTTAAGTACTTCATGAATATAGGCAGACAATATCATCTACCCCCTTGTGAGAATCAAATAAAATATTTATGTAAAAGCATTACTTAGAGAACACCGCTCATGCAATGTGTTCATACCCATATGCTTCTATCAGTGCATCAAACCTGTTTCCAGGATAACTTCCAAAACAATGAAGGTTATCATTCTAATTAAGACCATTAGCATTTCCTGAGCATCCCACAGGCAGGAGGATCTGAGAAGTACTATAGCAAACTAGGTCAGCTTCTGAAATGCCACCATTTTATCTTACAAAGTAGAACTATAAGTACAAGGTCAAAATTTATGAGCATCCCTTTTTCAGTTTCAATACAAAAACTGTTATTATCCATGAAAAAGCTCACAGAGGCGCTACACATGGTGAATAAGACATTGGAGAAAAAAACTAAAAATGTTTGAAAGTACTGACCATAAGTACTTTCCATGGGCTAAATAATGAACTCAGTTGTAATTTTTTCTTTATCAACATAAGCTAGACTAAATCTCTTTTGCTGTGAGTCATCACATAAATATGTACAGGAAAATTAATTGACTGTACTCTTTATAATAACCAGTAATCAATTAAATTCAAGCTAGCTGTCCCTTCTTAATGACTGTTCATAACATCAGTTCTCTAAAATTTAAGAAGTGGGTGTAACAACTTCATCATTCTTTAAGAACGCAGCATAAACATGGGTAAGATGGATTCAGAAGGAAAAAAATAACTGACCTCTGATAGGGACTTAAAGACTGCCATATTGTTTCCTCCTTAATAAGGACAATTGCCCAGAGAATGGTTACCATCAGGAGTCAACTGGTTTCTTGATAATGCTCTTTAGTTATAGAAGACACTGGCAATTGGAGAAGGAATTCCTAAAGAAGGCAATCTTCTATTTTTTCCGCTTTTAAATCTTTTTTTTTAAAGGAATCTGAGCTTCACAGAAACATAATTTGAACTCAACAATAAAAGAGAGAGGAATAAATTTATAACGGATTTTCAGATACTCCACACACCAAAGCAAGCAGCCGCCTCAACACTTCCATCTGATGGATTCGTAAGGGATGATGAAAACATCCAATAGGAAAACCAAAGAATCTGCATGAGAAAACACATGTAGTGTTGATGCTGCCTATCAGAGGCAATTATCGGGGTACCACACTGAACTTACCCTTCCTGGGTGGTGTTAATGATGTCACAGATGTGCATGAACTGACCCCAATCTTCAGTCTGGAGACCAGCGAATGTAGCCTTTTCTGCAAAGAAAAGCGGAGTGTGAGCTGCGATTAAATAAGTCTTGTCTTCCTGAAACAATCTGCTGGAGCAACTATCATTAAGTTCATGTTACCAAAGGGCAAAGACATTTTTTTTTTTCCCGAGCAATTCCCAGTAACTCAGGAATCAATCAGAACTCAAGTTCGGAGCGTTGCTGTTGCAACAGTAATGAGTGACCTATTAATAAAGGCTTCAAGCACAACACCTGATCACAAGGCCCAACAAGCCAGCTCAATCTCCATCTGCAGGTCTTTCAGAGAAGGGAATTAGGGTTTACAAAGCAGCCGCCTAGAAGACAAACTACACAGGGCTTATTGTACGCAGTCTCATTCAACCCACGTGACAGAAGTTCCTGAGGTTAAGGAATTACCCAAGGCTATGCACTCACTATGAGGTACAACCAGCATTCAAATCTAGAACATTGAATCCTGTGCTTTTTTTTTTTTTAATCATTTATTTTGTGTGTGTGGTGGGGAGGGTGAGAGAGAGAAATCAGAATTACTGAGGAAGATCACTTTGGCCGCCTGTACTAACTGCAGCTGCTCCCAGGCAGACTTGAAGGCTCCTGTACTCGGACCCCATAATTAAATAAGCAGATATTTTCCTCTTGCTAAACTTTCCCTTCAGCACAAAATGATATCTGGGAGGGACACTGTGAATGAGCTTAACATCTTCCTGTGAGAAAGGGAATCTCTATGCAAGGGGGACCCTAGGGACCACAGAAAGAAAACAACAAGAAATGAAGGGGAAGAAAGAATAAGAGCTTGGCGGGGGGTGGGGGGGGTGGGGGGGAGAGCCCTCTGCTTAGCCTGCTTAGCCTGCCTAGCTACTTGAGGCTGGCGCTAGAGGAAGCTGAACAACCTTGCGCTGTTAGGGGTGTCCTGCTGCTTCCTCCCTGGTGCTTGCTCTTCCTCCCAAACTTCTTTTTCTTCCTGGAACACTCCTATTCATCCATCCCCGCTACAGCAGAAATGACTTCTCCCTTTTCAAAACCTCTGCGTTTGCTCTTTTCCCAGTATTGGAAAGGGACAGTGTTGTGGCTACTACAATATTATGTTGTTTGTCTCACAATAAAGTGAGTTTCCTTAAGTATGAGATCACGTCTTACCTCTGCCTCCTCCTCAGGGCCTGGCCAGGCATAACAGTAATGTTTACAGAATTAAATAATTCAGCAGATGGATTGCTTAATTTTTCTTTGCCTCTGAAGATGCACACTGACCCTGTTTCTGTTAACGTTCATTCTAATGTCCAGCGTCCAAAGAGGACAGAGCTATCAAGGCTGAAAAGCATTTCTTCTTCATCTCATAAAGATATGGAAAGTAAGGCTGGGGTTAAGTGGAGTGTTCCCTACTACAAAGCAGTCACCACCTGAGCTGCAGCCTAAACGCCAACGAGGAGCCTCCATCTACAATCACCAGCTTCCCAGGATTTCATCATCCCGCGGAGTTCCAGACACTATCAGGCTTTGTCTCACATTAATATGCACTTCTGCCACGCCCGGTTCCCAAGGGAGAAATCAGGGAGATGAGCGAGATGAGAGCGGGCACAGCCAGAAGAGATCAGTCACTTGGCTGTGGCTTCCACCTACAAGGCCACTTCAAAAACCTTGCAGGAAATGGAATTAAAAGTTTATTTTGGTGCTAGACAAATAGAAACTCAAGTTCCAAAGAGTCTTCAAAAAGGTCATGGAAAATGCATAGGATGAAAAAAATCTTTCACATGAGTTTCAAAATGATTTTGCACCGAAATCAACTTTTAATTCCATTTTCCCATGAACTTTCTGACAGGTCCCTGGACGGGATTCGCAGCGCAGCCACAGGAGAGAGAAAGGACTTAGGTCGACGCCTGCGTGGTCCCTGTTGGCCATGAGAGGCCTCTGTGACCCCAGAGGGGTCCTCCACGCCATTCTGCCTCCACTCCCCTGCCAAGCACTCATTCGCTTGATTCATTGACTCAGGTGCCCCGAGCGGGGACGCTGAGAAACCTAGTGTTTAGAGAGCAGCCTCTCACCGCGAGGTCGCATCATGTCACCTCCCTGAGCCGGCTGGCCTCATCCGTAAAATGGGCTTAACCAAGGCGTGCGCACAAGCGAACGCAGTTCCCGAATCCCGCGTCTCCCAGCGGAGGGCCCAAACCCGCCAGGCCCGAATGCCGGGGATCCACCTGTCTGGCTCCCGTTCCCAGGAGGCGTCTGGGAGCGGAGGGTGTGCTCTGAGGAGGGAGACTCCGGAGCGAGAGAAATTCCTCCGAGGGCCAGGAGGAATGTGAGTGACCTGGGAAAGTGGCGAGGGGGAGGGGAAGGATTTCCTCCAACTTGAAACAACTCCGTCCTCCCGCAGGCCTAGAACCTAGGTAGCCCGGAAAGGATCCCACAGTCCCCCAAGCCCGCCCGGGAGTCCGTCCCCGCGCCTCCTTACCTATGAGGTGGCCCACGGAGGTAGCATAAGGATCCCGGTGACTCTTCCCAAACGCCATGGTTAGCCCTTGGAAAGCCGGGCCCAGGAAATCCGCCACCACCGCTCGGCGGCTCCCGACTCCACCCGCTCGGTGCCCCTGGCTCCTCCTCTTCGCCCGAGCGCTTCCCGGGCTCGGGCGGGCGGGTGGAGGCGGCGCGTCCTGCCCGGCCCGCGGCGGGGCGCCGGGCACCGGGCGTGGGGCGGGATCCGGGGCGGCCGGAGCACCTGTCGCGCGTCATTGAGGACTGGAGCGGTCCGGCACGCGGCGCGTGGAACCCGCGGGAGTGAAGCGGGGGCGCCCGCCTGGGAGCTGGGCGGGCTTCTCCAGCCGGCGGGCGGAGCCGGGCGGCCTCGGAAACCCCGCGTGGGCCTCAGAGCGCGGGATTCCTCTCCCGGCGCGGGTAGCTGCTCCTCCGAGCCCTCTTCACTGCCCTCTGTAGACAAAGAAATATGAGGCTAATAAAACAGGATTATTGCGGGAATTTAGGGGAGGACGTAAACGGCTTCGGTCGATGTCTGGCACCCACAAAAATAAATGGACTAGCAAGACCTATTAACCCTCGCTTCCCCGGAGACCCTGTGTGCCGCAGGTGACGGCTAGGAGGAGCAGCTGGCCTGGGGCGTTGGGAGCTCCTAGGCGCCTCTCCTTTTCCCTCGAGGGCGCACGCGGCGCCGCCCGGCAACTCTTGGTTTCCACCTCCGCTTCCAGGGCCCTGTGTTTTCCAGCTGGGTTCTGGAAAGTGCAAAGGGGCTTTCCTTCGGTCCTGGCAGGGAGTCGCCGCCTTGGGATGCCCATCTGCTTCTGGGAAGCCTAAGCCCCCTTTCAGCCGCTCTTTGTGAACCAGAATATATTTCCTGTACCTTTGCACTGCGTTAACAAGGCACTCAGGATGGTTACCCTCTGCAGCGCCCTGAGAGCCTGCGGGTGTGCGTGTGTGTGTCTAGATGGGCTGCTGAAGCCGGAAGATCCCTCCTCGGAAGCGGTCCACCGAGACCCAGTTCCGCCAGTGTGGTTTTAGGCCTCAAAATGGTGACTTGAGAGCAAAGGATACCTCGGGATCCTCTGTTACACTCCAGAAGTCCAAACCGGTAGAAATATGCTAACTGCCCTCTGAGTATTTATTTATCTCTAATTTTGTTTCAAATTTTTCTTGGGAAAGGTCAGAGAAAACCTAGATAAAAAGATTCTTGTTGTGATGGCGTGTGTTTTCATAATAGGATTGGTTTTACCTGTTACTAATATTCTCCACCTGCTTGTCCCAGCTGAGTGGCTGTTTCAGGTGAGGCCTTTATGGGTGGACTTCCTTAGTCATCACTACAGCCTGTGCTGACACTGTTGAAAACGTCTTTTGTGACATCACCGACCCAGCCTGTGTTCCATGTGATACCTGCTAGCAAAATATTTTGCCTTCTCTGCATCCTGCAATCAAGCAACCTTAAAGGGAAAGTCCGTTTTAGTGTAGGTCGGTGTGGGTGTTAATGGCCTCCATCAGGGGATGAGAAGTAGCCAGAAGCCGAGCATGAGGATGGATTTTAATACAACGCTGCTTCTCTTATGTGGGAAGTCTTTGATTTGCTTCTTTTTTGAAAAACTGTTTTAATTTTTCCTGTATCTCACTTGATTATGTTACAGGATTGAGGCTTTGAGAATAAGAGAACGGGCAGCCAGGACCTGTTCCAGGCATGATGGCTTTGTAGACAGAACCAAAGGTGATGAGCAGTACCTGCGTGCTGTTTCAGCTGTGCCTGGGCAGAAGCTCTCCTCTCTCCCTGTGCCCTCAAGCGGGTTGGCAGCCCTCTCCTGTGCTCTGGCATTTTCCCTAGAATCCCTCTCCGTGCCAGATGTGAAAAACTAACTCAGTCATTGTTAGTGTGATCAGGGAGTGGATAGAATTCATACAAGTTAAGCTCAGACAAGGCACAGAATCCTGGAGGAGGACAAAGGTAAAATGTCTGGATTTCTACAAAATTCTACAAAAATATAATCTGGCTAGAGTTGGAATCATCTAACTGAATTTTCTCACTAAGTATGCTGTTATTTTTTAAAGGATCTGCTTGAATCAAAGGGAGACCTCTTGAAGGATGGAATCAGGCAAGCCCTGTGATTTGTTGGCAAAGGGTCCTGGTACTTAAGAATGCTAGTATTTTCTGTGCTCGAACTCTATTGGGTGTATTCTAGGTATATCACATGCATTTCTTTCATTCAATTCCATAATTTTGTAAGATCTGTACCATTTATTTTATAGATTACAGGGATTGCAGTAATTATTTCTTCACACACATTGCTAGTGGAGGACTGTGTGATTCTAGAACCTGTAGTTTTAACTCCTGTTCTATGCCACCTCTCATAGGCAGAGCCTTGGGTAGTGGGTGGTAGTGCTCATTTTGCAAAAAAAAACATCTGTTTTCACGAATCTAGGGGGCAGGGCATGTACAGTGAGGTGGCCAAACATGGCAACTGCACGTGCATAGAAGGCAAAAGTGACTTACTATTATGACTGATGCAGCTAACAGTGGTTTTCCTCTTCTCATATGATTCTGTTTTAATTGCCAGAATTTTTAGTTTTTCAGAGCTAGATATGACCTTAGAAATCACATAGTCTCTACCCTATCATTTTAGAAAAATTTATTGAGAGTCAAATATATCTATATCTATAATCTAGAGAGAGAGAGAGGAACACCCGCATCCCGTGAGTCATTCCTCCAAACACCTGCAGCAATCAGAATTGGACCAGGCCAGAGTTAGGAGCTCTTCTGATTTTGGTATAATCCTCTCTCAGCTTCAAACTAACAGTCTGCTCCTCCCTCTCTCCCTCAGTGTTGCTTTGTTGTTTTGTCCCATTTCTATGGACTTTAGGCTGAACACAGAGACTGACAGAGAGGCGAGGATCAGGAAGAGTGAGGAGAGGTAGCCCTTGGTGACTTGTGACCAATATTCTACAGAGTGCTTTCATATCTCCACTAAACCTCATCATAATTTTAGAAAGAATCCTTGTGCCCATTTTATTCACAAAACTGGGAGGTGATATGTGGTTTTTCTCATTCCAAATCTTGGACCCTCCTCCATGCATCACTGATCCCAGAGCGAAGATTCTCTGTGTGCTGTGGGGGAGTATTTAGCACGGTGCTTGTCATGCAGCAGTGGTGCCAAGTGTAGAAATTTGCTTTTTGGTTCCATACCTTTATCCTCCCCCAGCTACAACTTTAAGCCATGAGAAGGGCTCATTAGCTTCCCTCATCATCCATACAATTTTAAGAAACTCCATTGAGATTGGGGGTAAAAAGGCAAGTATTTGTTAAATTTGTCCTCTATAGATTCCTGGGAAGCTTAAAACAAAAGTTTTATCTGAAGAATAAAGCAAAGGAGTCAATATTTTCATAACCTAAGGGAATTAGCTTTTTGCAGGTTTTCCAGTATCACTGGTTCACACTGAACTCACTTGGGATTTGTCATTTAATTCTTGTGTACTGTAGTTTGCAAGTCAGATAACGAGGTTCAAATTGCAGCTCTTGGATGATAAAAATAATTCCAACTGAGTTCATAGGATTTTTTTGAAAAATAATGAGCTAATGTATGGATAGCAGTTAGAATGCTTCTGGACATATAATTAAGCTTAGTAAATATTAAGTAGTTATCATCTCCTCTTTCCAGTCTACCAGCTGGCCTGAAATTTCCACTATCACTAAGTGGCCTTTGAGTAATGTCTCCTTAAAAGCCACTCTTTAGAGATTCAAGTGTTAACCTATTTGGTAAAAGAAGGTCATATCTGCATAGAATAGGATTATTCCAGTTAGTTTCTGTTTCTGTGTTCTGTAAATTGTTGATCACTTTACTTGAGAAACCTCTTGTGGGAATGAAGCTCTAAAAAATTTGAGAGAGTTGGTGGAGGGGTTAGGGCAGACCTGGGGGATACTGCTTGGAGGCTTGCTTTGCAGAAAGCCTTGGAAAAGGGTGGACAGCAAGAGAAACAGATGTTTAATTCAGAGGTCAATCTGAGTTCAAGCGCCAGAGCTACCATTTAAGAACTGATCTACGACAGGCAAATAATTCTTCCAGGACCTCAGTGTGTTTATACCAATGGAAGTTACTCCACATATCTGTCTCAAAACATGGGTCTCAAGATTACATGAGACAGCATCAGAACACTTTTAATAAATGCTTGGTGTATCACTGGCTCTCAATCATTGTTGAGGCCTAAAACCCGAAGTAGACACCTGTTCCCTGCTTTGTACCACATCCTCTTGGTTACCGATTATAATCCGAAGTGGTTTGGTGTTATGTATTTATTTGTTGCCTGTGTGCTGGAGTTTCTGTGTCTTCCTCCTGCTGCAAAACATACCCTGTGGTGACTCCACATTGCCTTGCAGGTGCAGCTCTCCCAGGGGTCTTCTCTCAGTCCCTGGAGGCAGACCTACTGAAAACAATGGAGACTTGCTTTCCCACACCCACAGATCCCATTCACCCTTCAGCCCATAGAGAAGGAGAGCCAGGAAGAGAGAGAGAGAGAGAGAGGGAGGGAGAGAGAGAGAGAGAAAGGTCTTCCATCCACTGGTTCATTCCCCAGATAACCATGACAGCCAGAGCTCTGCCGATCTGAAGCCAGGAGCCAGGAGTTTCCTCTGAGTCTTCCACGTGGGTCCAGGGACCCAAGCACTTGGGCCATCTTCTAGTGCTTTTGCAGGCCATAGCAAAGAACTGGATCAGGAGTGGAGCAGCTGGGACTTGACCTAGCACCCATATGGGATGCCGGCATGGCAGGTGGCAGCTTTACCTGCTATGCCACAGCACCAGCCCCATATTTTGTATTTATTTAAATAATACCTCAAGACTTATCAGACACAGAAGTTTTTAGCAAGTGTGATGCCTGTGCATCTGTGAGAAGGGATATGTTGGCCAACTAAATTAACAAAAGTGTTGCTTCCCATCAGAATCCAATACTCTGGACTTGCTCTTTGGCTCAGAGATGTCAATATGTTTCTGTGCCATGTCATCTTTAGTGCCATCACGAGCATTGGTGCATTGGTGCTGTAACTTTAGAGTGTTCTGCTCCTGTCTGCTGATTCTTTATTTGAAGTCTTTTGATGGTGGTACTTTCTACATTTTACCAGAAAGTGTCAATGGGAGGTGATTAGTGTGAAATTTATTTCTGTTTTTAGATAACAAAGAGGATTCATTTTCCTTCCCCAAATGGCCCTTAAATTATTATACACTGAAAAACATCAAGGGGTTGTGGTTGTCCCGGGAGCAAGGAGGAATAACATGTGAATACATGTGCCCAGGCACTGACAGCAATGTGCATTTCCTTGTTGCTGTGAGACTGGCAGAGACTATGATACACTGACAGTTGTAGGGTACATATGAGAAGTTAAAAATATGGGGAATTATTGAGCTTTTCTGGTAGGGTATCCTATAGCTGCCTACGCAATGAATGAACATAGGAAGAGAATCAGTATTTCCGCTGTGTAAGCTGACTAAAGTCTGAAATAAATCACCTAAGACAGAAATCCCTTGTATTCAGAAAGTATTTCGTCTGCCTTTAAATTCTTTAGCGAGTAATGAATTCTCTTACAAATCACTTACAATTTACTTGTCACACATGTATCTTGGAAGTTGACTACAATGTGCTTAAATTTATCTTCTTTTAAAAAGATGTAAATATTACTCAAATTTTCAATAGGGTGCCCCGGATTTCTCATGTAAAGTATTTTAATTTATACAGGTAATCTTTGTAACCACGAGAGGGCAGCCTTGTTCAACTTATCAAATTATTCCCCAAAGCCTTGCTGGACAGCCACATTCTGGCAGAATGATTCCCTGGAGCGGGAGGAGGTTTCCAGGAATCCAGCCAGCTGTGTTTTCCAGGGCATTTTAGTACCACAGCCTAGCCACTCTGTAACAAAACACTTGGGCACTGCTCTTTGTCTTTCCTTCCTGGGGGGCTCCACGTGGCTAGGGAAACCTGCTCTAACTTATGTGCTGGCAGAGGGGGTTTTGGAGAGGTAGTTGTTTGGGAAGGTTCACATGTGGCAGGAATTAGATAGCTGCAGGAGAGGATGGTTTAAGGGTCGTGTCTAGGATTTGAATTTCTGGATGACAAGTACACACCTACAGTTGTGCAGACTTTAAAATATGGCTGGACATTGCCTAGAGAGACTAAACCGTGGAGACACTGAGACGTTGCAGGTGCATTGAGAAGGAAGGGTGTGTCATAATCAATCAGCAAAGATGGTCAGGGAGACAAAAGGAGATAGTGCCTTCTATCTTACATCCTTGCTAAATCATCAATTCATCCCTTTTCCATTTATCACACGTTATTTTATCATAATGAATCAAAAAATGAGCTCCTATACTAGCAATAGAAAACACCTAGCAACAGATAATTACAACTCAGTCTAAATGGCGACTGCAGAGTGGGAGCTAACTTTGCGTGGAGGACCTCATCCTGTATTAAAGATGTGGACAGCACTGGGTTCGAGCCAGTCTGTTAGTGTAACTATAAGCACAGATAATACAAAAAACTAAAACAGGAGGAGCTACAGTGTGTTTGAACTCTGCCCCTCACTCTTTTTATTTTGTTTTTAAAAGATTTATTCTATTTGAATGGCAGAGTTAGAAGCAGAGGCAGAGAGAGAAAGAAAGGTGTCTTCCATCTACTGGTTCACTCCCCAGATGGCTGCAACAGCCCGAGCTCAGCCAATCAGGAGCCAAGATCTTCTTCCAGGCCTCTCACATGGGTGCAGGGGCCCAAGGATTTGGGCCATCTTCTGCTTTCCCAGACAGTAGCAGAGAGCTGGATCAGAAATGGAGCAGCTGTGACTCAAACTGGTGCCCATATGGGATTCAGGTGGTGGTGACTTTACCTGCTATGCCACAGCACTTGCCCACTGTACCTCACTCTTTTACAGAGAAAACTTTGAAATTGTTGCCCATACACCTAAGGATG